TTCCGTTGGGCGATTCCCATGTCCACCGGCGATGTTCTTTCTTCATGAAGATGGAATATCCATGGAAAAGTCGTGCGGCGGAGAGAAGCCCAACGAGACGGTTACCGTTTTCGTTCCGGAGCCCATATCCAAACTTCCCGATCCTATATTCCTTTTCCAGTGGCATCCCGATTTTTGCGTTGAAGTCGCCCACAACAAACTTGTAAAGGGACTTCTCGTTGCGGACGACCTCCTCCACATCTTCGTAGAAAGCATCTAGTTCTGATTCGTCAGCTGCTGATGTTGGAGAATAGCAGTTGATGATGCTGATGGTCTTCTGATGTGGAGGGCGTAGTCGTAGGATGCCTAGTCGAGGTGATAGGATCTCGTGCGAATCGACAAGATGGATGATAGATGAGTGGACGACAAAGCCGACGCCTCCCACGTTTCGTGATGGAACCTTTTCACCACGAATGATGAGGGTCCCATCACTCATCTGTCGCACGTCCTTCTTCCTGGATTTCGTTTCCTGCAGAGCGATGATCTTGTATTTGATGTCTCTGCAGCGTCGAGAAGAGCGTGGAGGTCGGCGTTTGTGGAGACTGTCCTGGCGTCTGGCGTAGGTGCAGGGCATGAGGCAGTCTCCATGGCGTGTCGTCCGGGCAGACGTGTCGTTTTTGTCCGATCCAAAAGGCGCCCTAAGGACCCTGACATCGTTCTTGCTACCACCCGGCGCCGTAAGCGGGATCCGATGTACAGGGTTTTTTCTAAATCTTCTTGCTGTCTGAGTAATATAATTTGTTCCCCTACAAGAGCAGACTTACTAGGCCAACTCTTGATTTCCACGGGGCGATCGCTGACCCCGGGCTTGGAGCGGGGAGAACCGCCTAGCGACCAGAAGAAGCCAAACGGCGGGGGATCTGGCATGACCGGTTCTTAGCTAGGCATCCGGCCGAGACCGGAAACGTCGAACTCCTTCACAGCTTGGGAGGCCCTACCAGAGTATACACTCGGCTGTGCATCGCAGTTCGACACCCAGTGTCAACCCATACGCCAGATGAGGCGACCGACCATTGTGGGGGACTATCTTACTCGCATTACAATCATAGTATGACAAAACTCACTCTGCTTAACTTCTCCCAACCGAGCTTTCTTGGCAGAGAGCAAAAATGAAACCTACTTTGTTTATATGAACCGAAACTGTTATGAACTATATGAACTGTTTATATGACTAGTTTGCCTGAAAGGGATTCATTTTCATTGCAAAGTGTCAAAAATCAATAAGTCTATAGAAGGGCTTAAAGAATCGCCGCGAAAAATAGCCTTAAATCACTATCGGGTCGAAAACATACGTGTGCGAAGTTTTGCTTAAACTGTTCAACCTGGCGTTTCTATAACGAACGAACAATCTAACGACATTTACAGACCTTGAAATATATAGGTATCAGTGGCGGTCCCAGAATTTCCGTCCGGCGGGGGGGGGGGAGGCAAACTTTTTGCAAATGAAAGTGCTTGACGTTAGCTACCCACCCTGAAAAAATTTTTGTGGAGCTTCTGAAAATTTCTGCGGTTTCGCCTTAGTGGCGTGGCAACAGCCACGTCCCCAAAATTTTCTGACAATGAGAAGGCTAATTTGAGTTTTAAAGAAGATTTTTAAAAATCATTTCAATTAATTGCAAATATAAACACGTTACTAACACATTTTTATGACCCATGTAAGTGAATTTTAATTTTCGCGACCCATTCTTGGAAGAGGCTCCCCCCTCCGCCTCCCCCCTCCGCGTAGAACATAACATTGTCGGTTTCAGGTGCTCGCAAATCGGAGTTCATCTTCTCACGTGAATAATATTGTTAAGAACATTGTTAAGCACCAACAATTACCCGTTTCTTCCCATAGTGGGAAGTTCAAGGACTATAATACAGTAGATTGAACAAAACCAGGTAGTGGTCCTGTAACAAAAGTGCTTGTATGGAAGAAGAACGCCAAGTATAGTTGAGATGAAGAGGCTAAAGAATTCTTACTTCTCTATGACGGCTTCGCATAATCATGTTAAAATTAAGGGTTATCAGGAACATTTTCGCTCAGGACCCAGTGGGTGGCAGTAGCCAAGCTGAAAATCTTTCCGGGGACAGTAGCAGCAAAGCGGATATTGTAGGTACATGTTTTTACTATGAGTACCTTTACATCAAATTACGACATGATACGCGTGCTCAAACACGATCCTGCAAAAGGTGTCATTCTTCCCAAAGTGTGCTTGTGATAGTAAAGAACTTTTACTCACGAAATAATACCACCATAACGAGTATGATGTCACGTTTGTTATAAGTGTGGTATAGCAGTGGCAAACTACGGAGATATGCGATGAAATTGTGTGATTGAGGGTTTTGTCAGGTTCTTTTTTAAAGTTTCAACATGTTGAAAAGTGGAAATATGATTTGCTTTCAATACTAGTGATTTGGCTCCGAATCTGATGTGATTTGTGCCGTAGGGTTTAGGCTGAAGTGTGAGGTTTCGTGAGAAAGTTGTGTGAATAAAGGGCGTGCGCAACTTTCTAACGCTGTTTTAAAGCCTGCAAGCTTTCAGTTCAGTTTTTTCTAAATTAAATAAAAATTCCCAATGTGTTTTACAACTAATCAAATAGATAGCATTTTGGTTTCAAAACTTTTCCTCGCCTCTTTTGTTGAACTCAAACTAGCCAACGCGGCCGGCGTCCCTAAGTAGGAAGGCGCGCTCTACCGCTCTACTGCGCCCACCTTTTTTGTTCCGTACTGAGTCTTTTGACATTCAACTTCCAAGCTCTATAAAAAAACAACTAGGCTACATAGCGAACCAAAAAAAAATTATGACACTCTTTAACAATTTGCGCAGCCAGAATTGTGTCAATTTTCGTGCATTTCATACGAAGGTCAACCCTAGGCAGCACAGAATGTTTGAGCATACTCATCTATCAGGTTGTCCCATAAGTTCCGTCCGTTTTGAATTTCGATCGCAATAAGTTATACACTTTTCATTTCTAGATAAGTTGCAAGGTATCATTCGATAGATCAAAGCAAGCTCTACAAGATGGCTGTTTTGCTTTTGTACTAGCTTTGTTACATCTCGAGTTCCAACGCGAAAACTAAAAAGATTTAAATGCCTGAAAAATCGATAAAAATTCGTAACTCCGTTCAAAAAAATCCTACAAAAATTCTAACTTGCTCATGTAAACACTATCCATCTAAGACATTTATTTACGCCGGTGCCGTATTTTTTCCTTGGCTAGAAGTCACGAAAACGAAAATTTTCATGTTTTTACCAAAGTGATGCTGTGCTGTCCCTAAGTAGATAGTTGTGTACTATTAGCCTGCGGAAGTGTAAACATAAATTTTCAGCTCTCTACAAGCAATAGTTTTCGAGAAATATGGATTTTAGCGTAAGGCATTCAAGTAAGGCAAGCTATATTCAATATTTCTCGAAAACTACTGCTTGTAGAGAGCTGAAAATTTATGTTTATACTTCCGCAGGCTAATAGTACACAACTATCTACTAAGGGGCAGCACAGCATCACTTTGGTAAAAACATGAAAATTTTCGTTTTCGTGACTTCTAGCCGAGGAAAGAATACAGCACCGGCGTAAATAAATGTCTTAGATGGATAGTGTTTACATGAGCAAATTAGAATTTTTGTAGGATTTTTTTAAACGGAGTTACGAATAATTATCGATTTTTCGGGCAGTTGAATCTTTTTGGTTTTCGCTTTGGAACTCGAGATGTAACAAAGCTAGTGCAAAAGCAAAACAGCCATCTTGTAGAGCTTGCTTTGCTCTATCGAACGGTACCTTGTATTCTGTATAGAAATGAAAAGTGCATGACTTATTGCGGTCGAAATTCAAAACGGACGGAACTTATGGGACAACCTGATAGTAACGTGTGCGGATGTAGATAACATATCGTACTTGTGCGTACCATTTGCGCATTTTTCATGCAGTTTCAAGCTTTTTGTCGTATGGTTTTTCGTTGTGTTAGAATCTGGGTTCTCCAATTTTCTGCACCGGTTCGAGATTAAAAAGTCAGTTTCTGCCTATTCTGGTTATCCATCCAATTTTCGTAAAATTCCTTCTAGCAATGCCAAGTAGTTGTAAATGGATCTAGATCGTTTTAACAATTAGAATCACCTTTTGGCTTCTAGTGGTGATTTTTTTGAATTGAAAAAGGTGCTCGTATAGAATCTCTCTGCAAGTTGGATTACTATGTAGTTTACATCCACATTCAAGTTCATATGTCAGTTTGTTCATCAGCTAAGCAAAGCTTATACCTCAGACAATCCGCAAAATACTTCCTGGGGAAACTGTACTCCTAAATTTTCGTTGGGACACTCCTATCGAAGCTGCCAGAGCTGCCAGGGCGCGGCCAGGTAAGGCGGGGCCCGCCCACATGACCCAGTAGGAGCCCCCCCTCCCCCACAAGCTTTAGAAGTTTAGTTTTCCCCGGAAGTATTTTGCTGATTATCTGAGATTGTCGATATAACACTTACCAGTCACAAATGGTTATTGAAAACATCCATCTCTTCAGAATACACAGTAGAATCAATGCTCCAAGGCATACTTGTCTTCCCATTCGTTTAGCAGTCATATAAAAAATGACTAGCAAAAATACAGATAAACACATGTTTCTGTGTGGATGCAACAATATAAATTTTACTACCTAATAATTTTCTCCGATGGTTCGTCCTGCAATGCTGACGATAAATACGAGTATAAAATTTGCAGTGTATCTTTTTCATCGTGTCGCTCATTTGATCAAACTGTTTTTGCGATATTATGCCGCACAAAAGTGCCGTTTCAATGTCTCCATCCATGTTGAATTCGAAGCAAAACACGGGTATGGCATATCCTTAGTCTTGCGAGCACTCATCTCCCCAAACAATATTGTTTCACATACTTTTGTCCTTTATCCTTCAAAGCGAAGCCTAAAGCTCAACTTATTCACCCTCAATGTGTAATTTGCGGAGATAATCTGGATTTTTGTACCCAGCGATGTGTGGAACACCTCGAGTTGCTTGATAACAGATTTATGATCATAATAACATGAGTTTATAATTTTGCTTAGGGTTTTGACAGTTGATTGCTTCATTGTCCGAGCAGATAGAAAGCTGCTTATGTTGCTTCAAAGGAGGTAAATGCTCTTCCTCTTGCACATGAAGAAACAAGCATCGACTGTCTTCTCATAGTTCCAGTAATAAGGCGTGATCTGTAAAATGAAATTCGTAGTGAGAGCAAATGCTAATCGTGGTTCATTAGAGCAATGATCTTCTGAAAAAACAGCTATGCAATCAAAAACCTCAGTTTGTGAGGCTATGATAGCAGAATTTTTCAAGGCGATTAAAGGAATTTCTGCAAAACAAGTAAACTTTGCATTTTTGCTCACTACACTCCAAAAGACTTGCATGCAATGAATTATTATATTGGGCTTGATAATTCGCTTGTGAAAGCTAGGTTTATTTTTATTTCCAGGGAGAAATAACTTGCGTCCATAATAGAGTTGCGGCGCTCACACGGTGGTTACAACGTAGAATGAAAACCTCCCCTTCAACGAGTAACAGCGTTTTTGTAACCAAGCTTTCTTCAAACACATAGTGCATGAAAACTTACGAAAACGTAGTTAGGTCCCTCCACTAATTCAGTGGTGTTGAAGTAGTGATCTTCACCGCAGTGGGTCCAGTGATATTCGTTATCTAAATTGCGTGAGCCGTAGATAAGCATTAGGATGTGTACGTTGTTGAGAGAGATGAAGGATTGCATGCAAGACGTACTCTTTTCGTATTTCGTTCCCTTGATTCTTCCGATAAAGTAGTGACGTCCATATGGTAGCTTGCAGGAAATCTTAGCTGGATCGTACCACTTCAGTATGCCTTAAAATTTAAACTATTCATTAGTCTGCTATGTTCCCAATCATAAACATAAGATTCTTTTACATAGTCAGAGTTTATTGCCTGAAGAACGCACCTCGTACAAAGGCCTCTTCTTGTGCGCTTTCGATCGAACTCTTAATCGCACATTCGTAGAAGACGGTAATATCCATGTAATCATCTTCCTAAACTTGTAACGTTTCGAATTTGCAATAAGCGCGTTCTACGTTCGATTGTCTCTTTTCACCACGTGCTTTCAAAAACGAGGCACAAAAATAGAACAGGAAACATATTTGGACTCACAGGGTAGAATATGTAGCAATACTTGTTCACTGGGTTGTAATGCCATCCAGGTCTGCATGGCTCTGGTGGTGGTGGTGGTTTTGTCACTGGTGGTTCTGTTGGTGGTGGTGGTTTTGTCGCTGGTGGCTCTGTTGGTGGTGGTGGTTTTGTCGCTGGTGGCTCTGTTGGTGATGATGGTTTTGTCACTGGTGGTTCTGTTGGTGGTGGTGGTTTTGTCGCTGGTGGCTCTGTTGGTGGTGGTGGTTTTGTCACTGGTGGCTCTGTTGGTGGTGGTGGTTTTGTCACTGGTGGTTCTGTTGGTGGTGGTGGTTTTGTCACTGGTGGTTCTGTTGGTGGTGGTGGTTTTGTCGCTGGTGGTTCTGTTGGTGGTGGTGGTTTTGTCGCTGGTGGCTCTGTTGGTGGTGGTGGTTTTGTCACTGGTGGTTCTGTTGGTGGTGGTGGTTTTGTCGCTGGGGGCTCTGTTGGTGGTGGTTTTGTCACTGGTGGTTCTGTTGGTGGTGGTGGTTTTGTCACTGGTGGTTCTGTTGGTGGTGGTGGTTTTGTCGCTGGTGGCTCTGTTGGTGGTGGTGGTTTTGTCACTGGTGGTTCTGTTGGTGGTGGTGGTTTTGTCGCTGGTGGCTCTGTTGGTGGTGGTGGTTTTGTCACTGGTGTTTCTGTTGGTGGTGGTGGTTTTGTCGCTGGGGGCTCTGTTGGTGGTGGTGGTTTTGTCACTGGTGGTTCTGTTGGTGGTGGTGGTTTTGTCACTGGTGGTTCTGTTGGTGGTGGTGGTTTTGTCGCTGGTGGTTCTGTTGGTGGTGGTGGTTTTGTCACTGGTGGTTCTGGCGATGGTGGTGGTTTTGTCACTGGTGGTTCTGGTGATGGTGGTGGTTTTGTCACTGTAAATATTTCACGCATAGAACAACATTTTACTCACGCAACGCTGCTTCGTTTTATTGCGGAACCTTGGAGAAAACTTTTTTTACTTTGCATTTTTCATACGTTTTAGTCTTTTGAAGAGTGAGCTAGGAGCAGTTACACTTAAAGAATCGCTCAAACATTCTGATGCTATTACTTGGAACAGCTTATATAAAGTGTAATCACCTTCAAGTTCTACACAACCTTCAGTATTTACAGTATTGTTTTGATAGTAGACGAAACATTTCATGTGGAGCCAGCACGTCCGCATCGCTGGGAGCTTTGCTGGCGCACTAAACTGACATTTTGCCAAGTAAAGACTATGGGGAACGAAGAGACGCAAAAGGTTCTCGCCACGATCCACATACTGTAGCTGCGAAGCGGCGCGAAGCGTTGCGAAGCGGGCGCCCGTCAACCCAGTTTTCGCCTGAAGCGGGTTAGAAACCGCTGTATGTGTTACAGTGCAAATTCAAAAGCTCTGCGAATGATTAGCCGACAGGGGCTTTCATTGTGAGTGTCATGGTTGACGTTGTTCAGATCTTCGCGAGCCGCCTCGCCTGGGTCTCTCACGTGGTACAATACTGCACCAGCTAGGCTTTCGCGGTATCGGATGCAGTATTGTACTACGTGAGAGACCCAAGCGATGCGGCTTGCGAAGACCTGAACCACGTCGACCGTGACACTCAGATTGAAAGCTCCTGTAAGTTATGCGCAATGGAACTCAACAATCATATGAAAGGGTCATCTCAATTGCAAGCACCAATTAATGTCAATCAACTTCTTCCTTTCTTCACAAGCATATCGCTATTAGGGCCCTTTGAATTCTTTTGCTCATAAAAAGGACTTTGGACTCATTCTTTATCCACGCGATTAAACGTTTGATTCAGAGATGCATAAGTTCGATGCAAAAGTTTCCTTTACTTTGACAATAACCGCTAGAAGTACCTGGTGGTTTGACTCCTGGATCACCGAAGCACATTGCCTGATGGAGTCTGAAATCAAGTTCGTCAAAAAGTTGTTTGTAAATACAATTGGTCTCTTATAACAGCAATAAATACAAGGAAGTTTTTGGACAATTCACAACTTACTCTTGCTCACAATCATCGACAATCCATTGTCCGTCTGCAATACGCATGTGAGCGCAGTACTTGAGCGGATTGTTTCCTGTAAAAGAAATATTCTTGCACAGATTGCTAGAAGCGTGTGCGGAAACAGAAATTCGCTTACCTTTTGCAAAGTTCCGGAAATCGAACGGCGTGTTGTCTGTCCAATGCCAGTCATCATAGCCCCATTTGGTAGCTCCAATCCAGAATGATCCATAGTCCTTGTCAAAGAAAGCATGAGTCAGTTCTTAAGTTCGATTGTTAGAGAAGGCGTATGAAAAATTAGGCTAACAAAAGTTTATTACGTTGTGCATATAGATTGAGCTGCATGTCATGAATGGAAATAAGTTCATAGCCAAATCTCTCTTGGCATGCTTTGCTAGCATCAACGAAGTTAAGTGCATCGTGAACGAATACGTAGCACCTGAAAGCAAATTTTCAAGCTCTGCGATCATAAATTATACTGTAGTACACACTTTTTGGTTACTTCATCATATATATGGCCCGTTGGGCAAGGATTCGTAGCTTGAGAGAGGGCCACTAGAGCTAACAGTAAAATCCTTCCCAGCATTCTGAAAAACATGTTGAAGTTTATGCATCAAATTTAATCAACTCCGGAAGTCCAAACATCCCCCCCCCCCCCCAACAAACACAAACAGCTCTAGGTGACATTCATAAATTCTCATAGATCGCTCAATGGTCAGCATTTCGCAGAAGGCTTAAAAGTAGAGGTGCAGAAGAATGAATTAGGCGCTTGTCATCGGAGTCTACCAGTAACTATACTGATGGTGAAGAGTCAAAACCATTCTGTGTAAAGCATTTAACTCTTCACCAGAGCGTTTCCTTTTGGGGCTGCTGAAATAAAAGAAGTAATATGAGAGAATGCGGTTGTGCCAAGACTGCACACCTTTTATAGGCTACGGTATTAATCTGTCAATTGTAATGTGCCGGTAGAATACGTTGATAAAGCTCATAAGGTTAGTAAAAAAGCTTTGGAATCTTTTCTACTGTCAAGAAGACAATTTTCCGAATAATATGGGCGTTTTTTGCTGCCGTTATCGCTGTATTTCGCATGTTTACCAACAGAGTAAGTGGACGGACGATAGACGGACTAAACGCTAGGTCTCACCGCACGATTAAACTCGCCTGCTCAGTATGACAAGCTTCGCTGAAAAAATGGCTCTTGCTCTTTCTATCTCTAGCACTCAAGAGAAACTCTGTAACAAGGAAAGGCACCACCTAGACTTAGTCAGCCTACCAAGTGTGACTCACGTAGGCAGAATCAGTTCAAGTTGCGAGTCCAAATATGTTATTTCCCTAGCTTTGAAGCATTATTCTGAACATAGTTTTGGAGTTTTTTCTTCTAAGCAAAAATTGCATGCTACTTGACTTACTGACTTCTCAGACCGTCGAAGCGATACTCCCGGAGGGCAAATGCCGGGGGTCTGCCACTCGTGCTCCGGAGCCTCCCATTTCACTAATTTTGGTGCTCTGGGGCTCCTCCAAATCTGGCGCACCCCCGGAGCAGAGATTTGCGAGCCCCGGGGAGGGGTCCCATTCGCCTTCTTGTGACGTCACCGTGAGGCGAATGGGACCCCTCCCCGGGGCTCGCAAATCTCTGCTCCGGGGGTGCGCCAGATTTGGAGGAGCTCCAGAGCACCAAAATTAGTGAAATGGGAGGCTCCGGAGCACGAGTGGCAGGCCCCCCGCTGAGCAGAGCCCGCGACCCTCCCATTTCTGCTCCGGAGATATGGCGTCGATTGTCAGAGAATGATTTCATCAACACAAAAGACCTGATTTGATATCATCTCAATTTCCTGCATCATTCACCATGCTTACCATTGTTCTTCCTCTTCTTCTTCTTTTTCTGTTAGGCAGATTTCTACTCTACATGCATATGCATGCAAAAGTGCACTATTTTCGCTTTTGTTGTACATCTGATGAATTTAGATTCAGTGCAAAATCCGACAAAGTTTTCACCAAATGCATGCTTAGCAATACTTCTGCAATATCCTGGATACACCGAAGCATTACGAAGAAAAAAGAAACAGAGATGCCAAGAAAATAATCATTCTTATGTTGGCAAGTGGCAATCTTATGTTCATTCTCGCTCAGGTAGACTGTAAATGCACACAAATCATCCTTCTCATTTCGTAGCAGCATCTGCATCTATCAGGAACTTGGGCAATTTTTCAAATTGCATTTGTAATGGATACAATGGCTGCAGCAAAGCGGTGATGTACATGTGAATTATGTTGAGTTCGCAAAAACTCTGCCAAAATTTCTTGTGTTTTATCCCTGAAAAATCTCGTATTTTCTTGGGCTTGAACTTTTTTCATAGTGTAGAAGGCAGAAGAATATCCATCTGCATGACGGATGCTGCAAGTACGTAAAAGCAGCAAGTTTTTACGACGCTTCTGTAAGCATACCTCAATACTCCTTTTTCTTAAAATTGTTTTCTTTGTCCCGTCTAGTGTATTTTCACCTCTATACATTTCTTTTTGAATTTTGCACTTCCTCCATTCTGATGCTTCTAGCGTCTCAAAAAGTGAATGTAGAAAATAACAGAATTTTGAATTCTAGTTCTTCTTTGAGTGCAACCTGTAGAAAATGATATTAAAAGTTTGAAAATGATTTCTAGAATCTAAAAAAATGCTTTTCCAGTAATACCAATAAAGCCAAAATCGTACACACACCGTCGAATTGTTCCAAAGGTGTGCAAGCATAATTGCGCTACCTCTTCATGTTCTCTGCACTGTAGGGACTAGGCACCTCCATCTACCACTTTTTCCGATCTCTTGCTTATCATCTAAAAGGATGCAACCCTATCGAAGAAATGGCCTCAAAGCGGACTTTCGGTCTAAAATGATTGTTTTGATCAAAGAATCAAAAACGTCAACAAAAGGGATGCAACCCTGTTGCAAAAACGGTCACAAAGCTAATTTTCCGCCAAAAAAGACGCACCAAGGAGATGACGTGCCAGTGGCTAAGCCTTGCACTCCGTCGACATGCCTTTATGACAGTTTTACAAGCTCCTAGCTTTTTTAGATCAAAAATTTACAATTGTAGCAAAGGTTGATTATCAGTCTAAGATTTCTATGTATTTTAGTTTATGTTTATGTTCTCAAAAACTACAGAAATACTGGGATTACATTCCACAGTCAAGAAATTGTACCAAGTGGGATTTGACTACTACGCACCAATAGTCTAGATCGTGACAACTGTTTCAGCAAGTTATTCGTCCTCCCTTTAAAGCCGTATGCGCCTTACGTATTAGCTCGGTTCAAAAGTTCGTACCGTTTTTCAGACTTATGCTCAAATCAGTAATAATCATAATAGAGAATTGCTCTAAACAATACTTCAATGCATAACTTCTTCCTCTCTCCAGCAGTAAAGTTTTCTTTCCAAGTCCTTCAATTATCGTTCGTTTGAATGCAGAGTAATCTCCAACCAGAGGTTTTTTCTTCTCTAGTTTGGGCTGTTTTTCAAAATTTCAATGCTAATCTTTGCAAGAGCCATGACAACTGGTGGATGAAGTAAACAAATGCGTGTCAGTGTATTATTTGGGCCTCCTCAACTAGTTTTCCAGTATGTTCTAGAGTGATTTCCAAAGATTTTCACTTTTGCGAAGCAGTCAAATGCACTAGTGAGATATTGCGAATTTTCCGGACGCAGCATGAGACGCGTTTGAGTATAAAACCTGTAATGATTTTATCTTTAACACGTTTCGGAGCGGTGCTGCACATGGTGCAGCATGCGCTTTCAAGGATCTTTTCAATGTTTGCAGGAGGTTTTCTTTTTGTCCACGGTTATCAAATCAAAGGCCTAAGCTCCTCCTTTTCAAATGACTCTGTAGAGCTGTGCCGCCGATATTTGTTTAGGGGATAAGAGGACAAATTGAACAACGGTTGCAATGAAGTGCGGCGACGCGAACGACGCGTGCGACGTCGCAACTTTTCTTTGCTCCTATTTCAAAGAGAAAAACCGTGGTTTCGATAATGATGTATACTGTATACAACATAGATACTTTTGGATAGAATTAGAAACTGAGTTCTCGTTCCTATTATTTAGGAAAGCACACAAGTCCTTCCCAGGCGACAAAATTCAAACACTTCAAATTCACTCAGACCTTCGGTATGGATCTTATCTGACATGCTGATTACAGATGTAGCACACAGTCTACGAATTAAGGCTCTTTTGTTGGCCAACGGCTGAAAGTACCCTCATTTTGCCGCGCGCGATTTCGCGGTCCGAAACGTGTTAAATATTTTACAAATCAGGAGCAAAAGAAGCTTTTCAGATAGAAGAAAAGCTACATGGCAACTATGTATATTGCACTTAATTTGCTCTACCCAGCTATCATGAAAGCTTGAGTGGAAAAGCCAAAAATAGCCGGAGTTAAGGGCAGTAATAACCATGGATTTTGAAATCGGTCGAATACTAAAGCGTTCATCAAACAATTGGGAACAGAACATCACTCATCATCAACAAAACATCTTTGAAAGAATAGGTATGCACTAAAAAAACAGCATGAAGATTCCGACCCTCCTGTTATATACGTCATTGTCGGAAAATTACCGAAGAAATTTTCCTGATGGGGAAATATGTTCATTTATCCCATCCAAGAAGAGCTACCACATTCCCTTATTAACATATCATAGACAAAGTAACGATGTATAAGGCGCAAGCACCAGCGTTTGATGTTTATAGTTCCGCTTTTTCCAAAAGCTGTTCACCTACGAGAACGCGACAAAAATGTGTAGAGAAACTACTCAGCGGTGCTCAGCAATTGGGAGATTTGTGTGAATTTAGACGGTTATAACTTTGATCCAAAGAATTGCAGGGGGTTCATTATATACAGTTACGCTTGCATTACTTTTACATTTGAGTAAAATCCCCCAATATAAAAGAAGAAATTTGATAGAAATAAAAGCAAATCAAAAAAAATAGCCAAGAGCTACATAAGTTAGCCATTTAAGGAGTTCACGCGATTAATACAGACCGACGCTAAGTGATGCAGCCTACAGACTAGAATGGTAGCCATGCACAAAACCTCTAACCTTACAATCGCAACCTTATTTGTTGATTTTGCAGTCAAAAGTTTCTGCAGTGAAAGAAAGTCCATGCAAATCGCACAAGTGCAATATGAGCATTAAGGCTCTACAATCATCTTTCTGTTCTTCCAACTTTTTATAATACTTTTGTCTTTTTGAACGTAAAGCATTCATTTTCTGGCACTACAAGGATTATGATGTAAAGTGCAAATGCAAGCAGTTTTGCCGTTTTTTTCATCTTATGTAAGGGTTACGGTATGTTCACTGTATAATGGGAAAATTTTTAAACTGCGTCAGATTTTGCTGAAACTTGGCCTATGGGGGTTATTGAACATGCTGATCCCAAAAATAAGACCCGTTTTGCATGAAAAGGCCTCTTTCATGAGTTCAAGGAATGCATATTATCTTAGCGACGAATGAATATGTTATTCGTGTTCATCGTATTTGGGTTACCCTATTGTGCAAAGTTTTAGCAAATTCTGAGGTTTCGCAGCTTAGTTATTGACAGATACCCTTCAAAATTGACGCATTTAACTTGATCTACTAAGAACCGTGAAACTTTGATTTCAACGCTTTTCGAAAAATGCTTGAATTTTTTCGATTACGTTATCAAAAATTAAAGGGTTTAAGCAGACTTGGAACTTACTTCACATTCTACATGATGTCAGAGAATGAAAGTGCTACATTAAAGAAGAAAAAAGTTTTAGAAAACGTTGCAAGACTCATGCGCCAACCTAATACTTGGTTCTGACAATTTTTCCCGACAATGTTGGGCATTCGCAAAACTATGAATTCCTTTATTAAATGGATAAGATCAAAATGCAGTTTGTAGTGAGCGTTGTCTCAAACAACGTATTCCTTCTCCACAATACACTCCATACTTACAAACGTGCGGTTGCCTCTACAACCCTAAATGCCACGTCGTCGTAGAGTTAGATTGGTACCATATATTGGCACTCATTTTTTTGAAAGATTTTTCGCAAAAATAACTCTGTTTGACTTGTCTTCTCCGATTTCTTGCGGTAATGAGACCAAAGATGACTGAAAAAGTTGTTGTGGGTTTTCATAAAAAACAGTCCAAAAGTGCGTTTTGGTCGCCTTCACCAGTGATACAAAAAGATTTTCCTCTTTTCTTGTTTTTTTCTTGCGTTAGGAAAGAACTCAAATGATGGCTTGAAGTAGCTCTGCCGCTTGTTTTGCCGCTTAGATGATGAAACTCCGCACATTTTTGTTCTAGGCAAAGTATTGACTAATAAATACAGAATCACTTTATCCATCTGTTATCTTTTTGGTACTGCCGGGTTGAATGCTGTCATCAAATGAAAAACAGTCTAAGTCACGTTGGTAGGCAACACACTTCTGCTGATACCTGTCAAACATGTGGTTGACATGTCTATTTTTTGATAAGTGGCACATGACGTTAACACTCCCTTCTATGAATTTGTGTCTAAATATGGTATAAAAAGTAACAATCTCCTTTTCCAAAAAAGAGCCGAATGATGGTGAAGTTCCGCTAGCACTTATCAGTTTGTATCCCATGTGGATGTCACAGGACGGCTATTCGGATCTGGCATACATCAATGTACGGTCAAAACGATTAAAGCTAAACTTTGCTGCATCGCGAAACACTTCGGAGAAAACGTTTTCAGGGTGTTTCTTTTCGTACTGATAGGCTCTCACACGCCAGAAACACAAAAAGATGGAAGCTGTTAAGCGATGAATGGGCCTTTTTTTTGTTAAGCGGATGCTCCCGAATTTGAATCTTTGCGATATTTTTCTCAATTCCCGCTAGAAAGAAAACTTGCTCACAATGCTAGTGTGTAGCGGCCTCATCTGAAGATGAGTAAAGGTGCAACTTTAGATCTTTAGTGTGCCACATAATTAAGAAGAGTCATTTGTTTATGGTTACGGTCAACCTTAAATCTTTGGATTTTAAATCTTTGAATATTTTTAAGATCTAAGTTTGAGTAGTAGTCACATCGATACAAACGGCCAAAATGCTGGAGACAAAAATGTTTTGACCTGCTGCGTATTCATCATTGTTGTAAGTCTTACCGTTAAGTGCGATTACCACTCAAAAGCTCTATATATGGGGGCAGGCATTATAGAGTAAAGCTACGTACCCAAGAGAAGTGGAAACGGGAAAAAGCACTAATAACTTTTCAGAGAACTCCGATTTAGTCTTGTTACTATCTTTTGGGCCCTGCTCTTCTACAGACACTTCTCCCTCATATTCTATTTTGATTTATTTCCAAAATATTTGGTCTGCCTTGCTTCTGCGGTGCACCTGCGCAACTCCATGTGCAAAAGAATTGCGGGAGAGCTAGAATGGCTCAACCCGCTGACAGTGGCGTACCCAGGATTTCCGCTCGGGGGGGGGGGACAAAAAATTTTTCGAATGAAGGTGCGTGGCTAACGCCACGCCATTCTCGGGGGACGCCCCCCCCCCCCCCTCGGTACGCCACTGCCCGGTGGGTAATGCTAGCTCCTCTGCCACTACAATTGAAAACGACGCAATGCAAATGACCCTTAAAATATGTCGCAGGGGGGGGGGGGGGTGGGGGAACGAACGCCTCAATTTGGCCCCGCCTCCATGTTCGGACGCTTGCGAACTCGAACAGATTCTGCAGAGTTTACGACCTTTCACACCAAACGCAGCAAAGCGCACGCCAACATTGCCGGCTGGCGCTCATCGGTATTTTTCACTCAAAATCGGCTTCTCTGACCGTTCTTGTTGCCCTCCCAATATTCTTCTACGTCAGTTATGTCTGTACTTCCAAACTAACCTATCTATTCTGGCTGTCTACTATTCTTATGCCGATTCAGCTCAATTCGGCAAACTATTCAGTTACTGTCTGCTTCAATGTTGTTCTTGTGTACGTTGTTACAAAGACTCTTGTTCGATGTTGTTTTTCCTTGATTTACATGTGAAGCTGGTTGTTTTTAGATATTGTGATAGACGCACGTCAGAGCTAAGATTTTCTACGCTATCAAGTCCAACCTGAGTAAGTTTTCGCTTCTTTTTCTTTGTTTTACGTTGTATATGACATATGTTTGTTGATATGTTCATGTATGTATGTGTGTGCTTATGTTTTCGTGTGTGCGTTTGTATATGTTTGTGTCTATGTTTATTTTCATATATTTTGATTTTGTATGTTGTATATTTCTATATGTTTGTTTATATGTATGCATAAATGTTCGTAATTTGTGTTTTGTGTTTATCTGTGTGTTTGTGTTTTTGTGTGTGTTTGTGTATGTTTGTGTATGTGTGCATGTACATGTTTGTGTTTATATATGTTTGTCATATGTGCATGTGTAGGTGTGTAAGTGTTGAATGTTTATATGTGTGCATGCGTGTGTTGTGTGTACCTGTGTGTAATACTGCTTCTCCCTATGCGAATTCTTTAAATTGGTTTGCTTTCAGACCAGCGTGAACTGAGATCGATCGAAGGCCGTTAACCACAGCGCCAATTTGGGTAAGGGTTTAATCTTTTGTACCACCTTCCATGCCTATGTTATGCTTTTTAAAGTCATTCAGTGTCATTTTGCTCTCTATCTTCATTGAGAGTGGCTGTCACGAAGATCACTTAGTACTCATCTTTTTGAGATAAGATGAACTCTGTGATCTCTAATGATAGCATCACCAAATTTCCTGTTTTCTTTTCTGATTTTTGACGGTTTGCAATGATTTCAGTAATTATCGCGGGACAAAGGAACATTCCTTTTTAGAGGTAAACACGGGTGAGTTTTGAATCTCAATGTTCATCTCTTTTTATTGTTTGCAGTTAGACTGTGATTATGGTGATCATGTACGCATCGCAACAACATATCTTCTTCGCACGACCATTCGTACGTCATAATCACAGTCGATGTCATGATCGCGGAATGCAATGGAAATGGGAACTTTCTATTCGAATGAAGACAGATGCAGGAATGATGCAGGATGCATACTTTTTTCATAATTTGGGCAGTGATGATGTCGCTATCAACACTATCAAAGTCTGCGTCCTAAAAGCATGACCTGGTGATGTAGTTAGCTTCTATCTTCTATCTTCTTCTTCTTCTGTCTTTCCATCTTTGTGTGGCTGACTTTCACGAGAATTGCAAAGTACTCATCTTTTTTGTGATAAGATGAGCTTTGCAAATTGCAGTGATAGCAACACGCCGTTTTTCCACTATTTCGCTACCTTACTGATGCCACATAATGCAGAAAGATGTCTATCACTAAGCATGCATGATGAATGGCTATCATTATAGACTTCGAATATAACCATCTTCCTTTTCTATCCAATTTCCACTAAGATCTGTGTTTGTCTGATTGATCACTAACTCAGCTAAGTCAAACTCTTGACCTTGAGTGATCTTAAGAATTACTTTCTCCAGCATAATGGCTGCAAACGAAGACCGAACTCTCCTCCTCGAGGTCGACGAGCTCAGTGGAGCTCTGAACTATGCATCTGTGGATATACCGAGTGGTAACTACATAATAAGTTTGAAAAGTTCCCCTTATCTTATTTTTTGTAGCGCAACGGAGTCAGTTGCAAGCCGGACCTGCAGAGGTTAGGTTGAAGGAGTTGCACATTTTGCATTTGAAAGTTTCAAATTTGCTATAATGCCACGGCAAGCTTGTCTAACAAGTCAAATACAGCGCTTCTAAATTTTCCGAGCAAGTGCACAATCTACACAGTGATTTTTCTAGCATGACGATGAACCCGGAACTTCGGGCATGAACACGGAAAATCATCATTATATTGGAGAAAAACAGGTAAGCCGGTCGGGGAAGCAGGAAGTCTTAACGTATTTAATTCCAGGCACGGACATGGCACATAGTTTTGCGTCCTCCAAAAAGCTCAAGAAATATGACCGGTATTCCTGTGTGAGGTGCAAGACATTGAAGAAAGCGATCTCGGTTGGAGTGAGTCACATGTCACCGTCCCACCCTAACTCCCCAATTGCATACTTACCCTGACCAAGCACGACTCAGGTCATCGGCACGAGGTTCCTGAGCGACCCCTGCGAATTGCCCCACGTTTGCACGCCTTCAACAGTAGCAAACCTAGCATTGAGAACATCATACAAGGTAACACCGCAGAAACATCATTCATGCGCCAAATAGAGACCAAATTAGGTGCTACGAGATCTTCGAAATGATCCGAATGCCAGTAGCAAGCCTCCTCTTAGGGCATTATTTGGACACCATCAGAAGTATCGACCAAGATGCAACCCTAGGTGCAAATAAGCTTTAAAATTATCAGATATTTGAGATTTTTTCTTGTAGAGAATGACTTGCGGGTGCGGGTAGTGGACGAATACCGCGGAGACGGGTTTTCGCACAAGAAGCGTGCAATTAGGAAGTATGAAAAACATTATGGAGGCCCATTGCAAAGTCAAAAGTTGAGATTTTGCAGAGCTTGCAGCACAGGGCACACCAACCCTGTGACCATGGACAACATCCCCAGTTACCTAGCTAATCTATGGGATGGGAGTGCATTTCTGCAAGTGAAAGAACATGGGATGCACGTATACATCTCAGATTCATCCATCGAGGTGCTAGCCTTAGCAAATCCATGCCAGCTATATACCGGAATTATTTCAGAAAGCCTGCAAGAATGCACTTTCGGTGCTTGTGGCGGATGCCGTGCATAGTAAAGCACCGCGATGCGTCAAGAAAGGCTCCCAACTTTATGTCATCCATGGAGTCTGTCGCGGCGGCTTTGATGTGCCCTTCCTCTATGCAATCATGGAGAAAAAAGATAAACAAGCCTACGAGACAGTACTCACACAGCTAAAAACCCATCTGCTTAGATTCGGGGCTGATCTCGACGGGTTGCATATAGTGGTCGACTACGAGAGAGCCGCCATCGCCGCCATTCGCACCATTTTCGAAAGAAGCACACTTCAGGGCTGTTCCTTCCACCTTGCGTTGGCGTGGAACAGGCGGCGAAATGCGTTCGGGCTGACGCGCTTCATCTCTGGCGAAAAAGCCACAGCGGAAGTCGCTGAGTGGTGGAACCATTAAAGGCTTAGTATTCTTGCCAAGACGCTTGCACGGTGTAGTCCGCGCATTGAAGGAACCGCCTGTTCCACGCGACCACCCAGCCCATCCTAGCTGTACTAATTTCTTGAATTACCTAGGTAATACATGGTACAGGGGACCCCTATCCGATCTCTGGGACAAGTCAGGAGTGTACGATGTTAGAACCACTAATATTGCGGAGGCCTTTCATCGGTCAGATGCTGGATGCTGAGAAATACTCCTAACAATTTGATGAATTTCTTTTAAGGCGGCTGACAGTACTACTTGAGGATTTTCCTACGTTGTCAGATGTCAACAATACTTTTCACGCCTTAAAGGCGGAGTGCAGAGCAACATTAAACTCCCTAGAAATGGTAAAAATCGTTAATCAGTAAATACCAATTCCATTAGCTGAAGTTTTCTTTAGCATCCTGACCGGCAAAAGGAAATCAGCCGCGAGTTTTTGGAGCGAAGAGAGGAGATAGCTGATGCAATGAGAACGTATGCCCCCTTTGACTAAGCCTACACTATGTAAAGGGCGTTTTTCTAGGTTCGAGGATCGATACAGGGGGCAAGGTGTGACGAGGGTCGACGCCGAGAATTATTGTAAAAGGATGGCAAAATATGTTACAGATAAAGCCATTTAGTAGATTTATCATCCTCCACGACATAACGACATAAATTTGGAAAAAAGTGAACATATACAAGAAAAAAAATAAGGAAGGTAAGGTACAGCAAAAGAAAATCCAAAAATCAAAGAATATGTAAACATGATCAACATAGGATTGTCAAAAATTACCTATGATACAATTTTCAAAGGAGAAGTAGAGATCACAAGTTGCTGCTGCTTCTGTCTGTTCAAAGTCCTCTCGACCTGTGCGCTGGATTCACCTGAACATAAATAATAATGAGCGACTCACATACAAATCAATAACATGGTTACATCAAATTTAGGAACTAAAGAAAGTGAGAAAGATGTCATACTCCCTCATATTATAGTCAATCAAAAAATTTTGTGCTGATAAACTCTTTCTAAAAAGAACATAAGAAAAACGTAACAAAGTTTAAAATATCACCAGCTTTTGATTGAAATATAGGTTGTAAAACGTTATCAACAATGATGGTTCTATATGACTTTCGAGTTATGACAAAACTCCAGCGAAAAAGTAAAGCTTGAGAAATCCATTTCAATTGCTAAGTACTGTTTGATTATAGTGAAACATCAATGAAAACAAGCGCTTTCCGCTGCTTACCTATTGCTTGGCTATTCATATCCATCAATATTGCTGGGATAAACTCCTCTTGCAAGATCTGCATTTTAACATTGGTGGAGACATCCTACAAAACTCGACGTTGCTAACATTTCAGAAAAACACCTACAACAAAATGTTCAAATCCAAGATGCAAAGCCCAGACTGATTAGATTCTGCCAAAAATCAGAAGGAACCGGATCACTTTCGATGCGAGATTATTAATGTTTCAAAACTGCTCTCTTACTATTTCTCTACATTAGCCCTGCGCTAGATATATGCATAATTAAAAAGAGAGCGCAACTAATAATAATCCTTTGGCAAAGATACAAGCTTTTGTAAAAGCGCCTGTGAGACTATCATCGGCCCCACGATTCCTGTAAAGGCGGAGTCGTGGCAGTTAGAAGAGTGGCGGTGTTTGATGGCGAGAGAGTAAGATAAACAATGCTATGACGCGGAAGTTTAACACGTCCTTACAACCTCAGAAAGTCCGCGAACCGCCTCCACACGAATCTTGGAGCCGATCATACTTCCACAAGCATCAGCGAATTCTCGCTGCATATAAAATGTATTCAACGCAAAAGCGAGATGAAAGCTCGAGGTAATGTGAAAGAGGTAAGGCGTTCCAGAGCTATGGTACAGCACGAAAATCTGAGAAAAATCCCGGAACTCACACGAATTCTTCCAACCACACCCGCAGAAACGCGTTTCTTGATAAAAAACGATTGATTCGGTATGGGTTAGGTCTCTCTTGATAAAATCGACGATGCTGGACAGCAGTGGATGCAAGAGGGCGATATGCTCGCCCATTTCGGAGAAGCAATCGGACCTGAAATCATATGCTAGTTGATAGCTATCAGCTGAGGAAAGCAAACGAAATACTGAATCGAAATTACTACTCTTTATGTACTACGCCAACAGAGAGGTATGCCTCTTGGTAAAAACATCATTCATAGTACTACCTATACATATAAGTCGAAAAAACAAAAGTTTCTATCACACAACATTGCCAGAAAGCGGGCAATTTGAGTTAACCGATAGCTAGGCACCTGAACAAAAAGCTAGAATGCTCTACATACCGCACGATAAGTGGATTTCTTGCTAAAAGGGCAGTACGTCCAATCACCACATCTAGCACAGAGCTTGAATACTATACTCAGCTTGAATACATCCGCAACAAATCCTGGAGTATAGCCTTCTAAAAAGAAAACCAAACCAAGATTGGCTCTACAAAAGAACAGCAGATGAGATGGAACTCACCTATAATTTTTCCTGTGCACGGGAATCGTTCTTGTGATCTTTCTTCTCAGCATTTTGCGAGCATTCTGGAATCATACACAGTTTGTGACAAGCTTAAACTCTCGAATGTACTATAATATTATTCATGAAAACGTCAGACCTTCCCATCTTGTTATCACGGTTTCAAAGAAAAAAGGTTCCAAAAGTGAAGGACGAAAGCATTCAACCAACACGCACTTGTAGTACATTAGAGAGTCGATGCTGTTCAAAAAATGCACAGACTCACATTTCCCAATCTTCTCGTATGCTTCACCATAAAATACTTGCCCGTTCGATTGAAACAGATTCACAATAGCGGTCCCTGCAACAGCCTGCGAAAAATCAGTCCAGTGAGAGAGTTGTTCCTAAACAAATACAGTCGTAAGGCAGAGCAAACGATAGCAAGTTGGAAATACAGGGGCGACAGACGAGTACACATCGGCAGAGCAACAAAACAGAGGAGAGGAAGCAAAAACTTGATGAAAAACACGAATAACTGCCAACCGGCAATGTTGCGTGCGCTTTGCTGCGTATGGTGTGAAAGATCGTAAACTTTGCAGAATCTGTTCGAGTTCGCACGCGTCCGAACATGGAGGCGGGGCCAAATTGAGGCGTTCGTTCCCCCACCCTCGCAGGGGGATGCGACGTAGCTTTGCTCCATATCGACACGCCGTTTGCATATGTAATACATCAAAGTAGCTTGAGGCAAATGCTCAAGGTTATCTAAATTGAAACTGATTTGGTGTGGAAAGAATAATAAAGGGCAGGAGGCGAATTCTGCTTTGAGTCTTATCATCCACAGATCGTACATCCAGACATCAGACCTTAGTCTTGAAGGCAGTGTCCGAACAAGGTGGGGTTTAGGACTGTACCACGAAAGTGGCCCGCCTCAGACACAGCATCGCACAAAAGAGGCTATAACGTTGGACTCAGAGCAAGTGGCAGAGGAGCTAGCATTAAACAGCGGATTGAGCCACTCTAGCTTTCCCGCAACTCTTGCACATGGAGTAGCGCAGGTGCACCGCAAGAAGCAAGGCAGACCAAATCTTTTGGTAATGAATAAAAAGTAGGATATGAGGGAGACGTGTCAGAAAGATAAGACCCTGGGACCCTGTCGAATTTGAAATGATAAGGCTTTGGGAAATGCATGTTTTCGCCGTTTTCGCGCCTTCTAATATGAATTTCTGGATTCAGGGTTGTGGATAACTCCCCCGGTAAGTGGATTTTCTAAAAATCGAGTTTTGCCCAAAGGCACCGTCCAACCAGATTCTCGACTTCCATGTTTTAATCGTTTCGGGCCTTCTCATGTTACTGATTCCGAATATGATGTCAAGAATCCGCGAAAACCCCGACAATTTCCGTTTCGGAAAACCCGCAGGCTGGCTTTCCAGAACGGTGATTGGATGGGCGCGCACTGATGGGCGGGCAAAAATGGGGAGGGCGGTGTTGTTCTCGTGCATTTTTGTTATTCCGGAGCAATTTTCTCGCTTCCGGAGCGACATTTTGCGCCGCGACTTGGGCATTGGCTTGATAGGCAACTCTACTATCATATGCTGTCAAAAGCTCAAGACCCTCACTTTAGGATGGACGATGCCTTCAAGGTACATCCACACTGCAAACTCTAACCCTAGCAAAAAGCAAGGCCAGAAAAGTATCTTCAGAGATGTGGAAGGTTTCAGTAGTCCACATAAACACTGTGACGAAACTGCACCCACCAACTATAGTAATTTTATGAACTTCGGTGGGAATGCGAGAGTTATAGGATATGAAGTACGTCCGTATTTCCTTGAAAATCTTGTAAAGATAAAAAGATGTGATATGAAGATTCTACCGAGTCAGAGAAAGGCAGGTATAAGCTGGCAGGCAAAGGAGTAAAGCTGCTTTATTCGATCTCAGCTGATTAAAATTTCAGTTGAGGCTTCGACGAGTCAGCTTGCCTTCAGTTGAGCCATTGATTGATATTGCCAACCACACACGATGATAAGATTGAGAGCGCCACGTCCATGCAAGTATACGAGTCAAGACGAGTTTGCCAAACATTCACATCTATGGCATTGGCACTAGCGGAGGGGATGTGGCCGCACTTGTTAGATCTTGTTAAGTCTCGTCAGCATCACTGTGGCACCTCACCGACATGTTAAACTGACGTGCATCTTAAAGGCAGTGTCTCACCAAAAATTCGTTGGCGAGATTTTCGCATATTACAAGTCTATAAGACCTTATGTAACACCGTAGGGGTTTGAAACCGCACAATTTTCCCAAAAACCCCGTTTTCTGGAGGCCCCGAGCAAGCACCGTGGACGAGCTGTACCCCCTGCACTCCTCCACGGCAGGGCAGAGACGCAGAGTGGAGAGGTAGTCATTTGAAATGGCGTCATGAATTAACACACTTTCGCAATTCGGGATTTCATGCATACTTCTCCTCTAATCAGTCGTTCTTGAGTGATGAAATCTTTATGATGTATCATTCTGGAT